TGGAGGTGACAGCTGTAATTGGGTAGCTGGGGTGTCCAAAAAAAAACAAAGTTCTTGCATTCTTTCACAAAGAGAGAGAGAGAAAGAGAGAGAGAGAGAGAGAGAGAGAGAGAGACGGGCTGAGTGGTTGGGAGGAGAAGAGGGATAATGATTTTTCTTTTGATTTTGATTTTAAATGAACATTAATTATTTAATATAATTTTACTTGTTTTGTATAATAGTTTATTAGTTTTTTGTCCACGTGGAATCCCATGTCAATTAAAAAATAGGTCCCGCAAATGTCACATCAGTATTTAACAGATTTATTAACAGTTTAGCTAATGGAGGGGGCAAATTGTAGGGTTTTTGTGACATTGAATATGTACTCGTAAATGTACCTAAAATTGGGTATGAACTTGAAAATTACCCTATATGTTGGGGGGTTTTATGTAGTTTGTCCTAAAACTTTTTAAGGAAATGCACAAACAATTGTGCATTCTCCATATCCTCCTCTATTGGAGGCGCCACTCTGTTCACAAGGTTTTTCCTTGAATCCTCAAGGGGAGCATTATCTTCCGCCATCCTCCTAAAAACAATCTTATATTTAAATACACTGTCAAGCAACTTGTAGGTGGCAGTCCACCTTGTGGAAAAATCTATGGGGATATTTGCCATCTTATCTTCTTTTTTTGTATAGGATGACATAATCCTTAAACTTATTCGACCTTAATGGTGAGGATTGAATGTACTTTACACAATTCCTTATTGACTCAATTGAGCTATAAAGCTCCTATAAACCATGCTTAACAATTAAATAAAGGATCCGACAAGCACACCTCATATGCAAGTACTTCCCTTCAAGCATAAGAGTGTTCACCTTCTTGAACCTATTTGCCATGTACTCAACAACCCTGTCATTTGCAGAAGCATTATCCATAGTAATGCTAAACACTTTATCAATCCCCCAATCATTCAAACACACATCCAAGCACTTCACTATGTCCTCACCCTTGTTACTTGTGATCTTAGTTAAGTTAATGATTCATTTGTGCAATTTCCAGTCATTATCCATGAAATGGGCAATGACTACCATGTAGTTAATGTCCTGAATGGATGTCCACGTATCGGTGGTGACACTTACCCTTTGATCACTTATCACATTTATAATCTTGGCCTTTTCGACCATGAACATATCTCACACACCAGCAACTACCTTCGTTCTATCAGGGATCTTAAACCCGCACCCTCAATTGCCCTAAAATGTACCTCTTCCATAATGACATACTTCACACAATTCAATTCACTCCGTTTTTTATTAAATGTCTCAAGGACTAATCCCCCACCCATTGTTTCAGTTCTTAAGAAAGTTTGGCTGCCGCCATATTCTGTAAAAAGTGGAGAAGCTTTGCATCTCAACTTTAAGTGGTTTTTTAAACAAGTTGTCTCATTTTTCTTAGAATAGGTCGGCAACTCTACTTTACAATAATTGCAAACCCCAATAACCCTCTCTACCATATTAGCATTTTTTTTTTCCTTTTCTGTTTGTAAAGCGATCCTACACTATAGATTTAGAGGATTCTTATCTCCCATAGCAGAATGTGTAGAATCTACTTGTTGGTCTTGTGTTTGGGTTGGGGTTTTTGTTTGGGTTGAATAGAAGGTGGTGGACACATTCATGTAGAGGCATTTAGGGCATGTTTGGTAGGCCTCATTAGCTTGGATTGTGCTAAATAAGATTTGAAGCCCATGTCTAGTAAGATGAAGGACTAAGTTAAATGGGATTGTATAGTCCAATAGTAAAAAAACCTCCTCACTCGCTCTCCTTATACAAAGAGCCTGAAACTGCCTTCGCAAAATAAGCCATTCACTAAATTGAAACACCGAATCCAGATATCTCTTGTTTTCAACTTCAACTCTCTCTCCTTCACTACTCTGCATATCCGTCGCACAAAGCCAAGATTCTAATTCATGAGCTCTATGCTTTGTTCTTCGTCTCAGAGCTTCGATTTTCAAGATTTCTAGTTCTATTTCTTGTTTCTTATTCTTCTGATTGTTCGAATCGAAGTAAGTGATTTTTTCATTTTTTTTTCATTTTTTTTTTTTTGCAGTTGAATCAAACCTAGTTTTTATTCTTTGTTTGACATACACAAAAACAATTTGTTTGTGATTCGTGCAAGTTTAGAGTTTCTATTTGCTTTCAATATAGGATTCTGATTTTGAATTGCCATTAGTTAATTTTTATCTTTATAGATTTTCAATTTCTATTTATTTTAGATGGCTTTTTTTCTTCTTTATTTTTTTCCGAATTGATCTAGATCTGATTTCAAGATGTAAATAACGTTCTAATTAGGTTTTGGTTTTCATTTGTGTAGGTTGAAGTTTTGTTCTCTATCCTAGATTTGCAATTGTGTGATTGGTGAGATTTTTTCTTGAGGACATTTATTCTCATTGGATTTTCAGTTGAGCTAAGGTATACATGTTAAGCTTCAGTAATCAGTTTATCTTTTGTTGCTATTTAATGTTATTAATCTCGTATTTTATATCCGAATTTGGTTCTATGATGTTTACTGCTTGTTGCCTCGGAAAAAAGTTTGCTAGTATCTTATATGAGAATGATTGAGGAGAAAAGCTTCCTAGTATCTTTTGGATGATTTTGGGTCAAGTTGGGACCTTTGGGGATTTGATCGAGGAGAAGGGTTCTTCATTCAATGATCATTTTGTTTAGTAGTGCAATTCTTCCACTACCCAGGTCATTATTATAGGCTTTGTTTGTAATTGTTTTTCATTTATTTCTTATGTTTCTTTCTAATTTCTAGGGTTTAATTTATTTTTTATTTTTGTTAAGTTCAATCTTCACACACATTGAAGAAACTTGTCTTCAATCTCTAGTTTCTAGTTTATTTTCCTATTATTGGGAGTTTGATGGGTATTTGCAATGCTTGGTTTATATGCTTTTGCTATGATTATTGTTTTTCGTTTGATCAAAGCTCTAGTTATTGTTAATTTGTATGCTTTTGCTTTGATTTGTTGTCTTGTGCATGGAGTTGTGTTTTCTATTTCTTTGGTTGATTTTGTCTTGGTGACTTGTGCTGCCATCCAAAGTTGGAAGTCCTGTTTTTGCTAGTAGTTTGAGAACACAGTTTAGGATTGAGATTGACAGTTTTTTAGTTGACCCCTTTCTCATTAGTTTAGGACCGAGATTGGCCAACACATTGACTACATATCTTGCATGTGTTTATGTTGTAAATGGTTTTCTAGAGTAAAATTAGCTTAGTTTATGATCGATTGGCAGCCTTTCGTCTCTCTCATTCAATTGGGTCAGCCATTTGGCACCTGATGCGATAGTGGGAAGGATTGGCTTTGTTTGGTTAAGTGCAATAATTCTTTTCTTTTCTTTGTTTGACTTATGTGAACTTTGTTCTCACATCTTCTTGCTCTTTTTTCTTTTGCAGGCCCCTTCTTCTGTCCTTTCGTGGCCATAGGCGGCGGATAGGCAAAATTAGCAGATGCTATGGACGTCCTACAAGAAGCATTGCTTTATGTGTTTAGTTCAATCCAATAGGATTTTTGATGTAACTAGTTAAGCTGTAGTATGGTCATTGACTTGAGGACCTGGCCTAGCTAAATTTGATGCATCTATCTTTTTGGAAACACCACAAATGATGGATTGATGAGATTGACTTCATTTTGGAAACACCACAAAATGGTATAACATATTGTGAGCATTAAAGCCAGATGGTTCATGGTTGTGGGGGTTCTTAGTTTCATTTTGAAATTGTGGATGTTTATTTGTATGTATTAATGATAGAATTGTGTGCAGTGAATTGAACAACTTTGGCATAGAGGAAGAATTTCTAACTTTTTGCATAAATGAAGAAATTTTGACATTGACATCTACATATAAATTCTAAGTTTTGCATATATGCATCTCTTGAAATTCTTGAAGCATGAGTTGAGGTAGGTGGTTGTTATTGATACATTAATCAAATTTTTTGTGTTTGCATACAAATAAAAACTCAATTATACATAAACTCAGTGGAATTTGTAACTTTAACAACAACAAAAAGCCTTTGGTTTGGAGGAAAATAAATGTACACGTCAATTTGGTACTTATAATAACCAAAAAAACTAACATTTAATTATTTAAAATTATTATTTTTAAATATTAAAATAATTATTTTTTAATCCGACATAGCACCAAACATAGGTCTTAACTATTTTTGCAATCTCACTTCTTAGTCCGACACAGCACCAAACGTAAGTCAATACTTAATCCAACCTAGGCCAATCCGAGCTAATCCAAGATAGTCCCAAAATTTAGTCCAGTCTATGACAGTCCGCTGTACCAAACGACCCCTTTGTGTACGATGCCTAGACTCTATATTATCCTATGCTAAACACCAAACAAAACAAAAAAGCAAAGATCAATATCATCAAACATCCTAACCAACCATTCAACTATAAGCATGCATTCATACTAAGCTAACATAGAAACATAACAAAAAACACAGAAAGCAAAAAGACCCTCGGACTGTAATACCCCGAAAAATTCAAGGTGGATTTTCATATTTTAGTGAAAAATAATATTATGGTGGAGAATGATTGTGGGTATTTTATCAAGTGATTTTGGATGGAGATTATTAAATTAAGTGTGTGTAATTTCAAGTTGGACAAAATTGACCAAAATACTCCTATATGTGAAAGATTACCAAAATACCCTTGTAGGCAATAAATAAATAAATAAATAAAATATTTTAAAAACAAATTCTGAAACGTGGAGGGCATTAAAACACCCTCCTCCCATTCTTCCCCCCTTGCCTCAAGTTTTCAAATTCACCATTTATGAAAGGATGAGTCACCTATTCTAAATTGACAACTCACCTAGCCTAAGATTCTTCAATCATGAATTTATTTTCTTCCTCCCCATTCATTGTATCATCACTCTTTTCTAAATTGATGACTCACCTAGCCTAAGATTCTTCAATCATGAAATCATTCTTATCCTCATCATTCATTCTATCATCCCTTTCTTCCTCATATCCTCATTCTTCTTTTGTTCCTCTTCAAAATCCAAAATTCGTCACTTCCTTGGAGCAGCCGAGAACTCAAATTTCGGAAGCTCAAATGAGAAAACCTCCTTCATAAAAGTTGTTCACTTATGTGATTCCTATAACATCCTCCAATTTCAGCTCAATCCGACTTGCATAGGCTCTGAAAAGTTGGTATGATCACAGTATGTTTACCATTTTCTGATTTTGCAATAGTATGCTCAGTTTTAATATGTTTCTATGATTTCTTGTACTCAAATGACTTTGGTTCCTTCATCAAAGTTGTTCGAAATTCTGTCTATTATAACATATCAAAAGTTTAGGTTGATTGGACTTCTATAGTCACCTTGGGAACGTTTAGAGTGGAACTTGTTTATAGTCTTCGACCCTAATTCCTTCCCTTAGTTTCAGTCCAAAACACTCATTTTGAAAACTCAAAACACTATGATTTTTTCATGATAGTTACTCCAAATTCTCCTCTTTATAACATATCCAAAGGTCAGCAAAACACAACCATTATAACTCTCTGAAAATTGGTATGAACAAAACTTGTTCATTGATTATATTGAATTTCTTGTTATATATGTGTACTTTCTCTCAAATGGCTTGTTACTTGTCATTCAATTGATCAATTTAGCCACTATCAGCTCAAGTAAATGATTCTTTCAAGGCATGAAGCTCATCTTCTTATTGTCTCTTTGAGTACTAGTTGTAAATCAAGTATTGGTTAGATTGCCTTAATGACATATATCTCTTTTGAAGTGTGTTTTTGTGAAATTCTAAATTATTTCAATGTGATTTTGTTCCAATTTCATTATGGGATTTTCTTAATCAAAATGGATATCTCAAGGGTTATTTCAAAGTTGGTTTTGTGTCGTTTGAATTTAAATTGATTTTTCTATGAAATTTCGAAGTAGAGACTATGGTGCCAGAATTGTTATGATTTTGCTGCATGCCATGTTTTCAATACGTGTTTGAAAACTTCCTGAACTTGGATTTTCATGAAATTTTAGTATGTTTTACTTTCACGTATTTTCTTCAAATCTGGAAAGTTTTATCATGTTTGGTTGTAAATTGAAATTTTGGTAAGTTTTCAAAATAAAGTATACAAACTTGAAAAAATAAAAATAAAACAAAACAAAACAAAAAACAAAAAAGAACATTCTACAGCCTAGTCTATTTTGGTTTCTATTTTGACATGCTTCCTTAACCCTACTTTTTATCCAATTTTGACATTTTTAATGTTTCTATGTCTAGTTGTGATCTGGAAAGTTTTACATTATTTTGATTTAAACTCAATATTTAGTGAATTAAATGTTTAGCAAAACTGAAGTTTTTGTTTTAAATTGATGTTTTAAATTTTCTTTATGAGTCTAGAGCCGAACCACCTGATTTTAAACATCCCAAAGAGTACGACTACTTGAAGCTTGGTTCTATGCTTGCTTGGATGTGAGGTTAAGGGAGTAATGATGAACAACTTATCGAGTGTACTATGGGGTTTTATGTCTACATGCGCCAGTAGGACACTCAAACGTGTTTCCTTATTTCCAGTGAATTTTAATCAGTAAATTATCTTAATTAGGTGTTCTACTCTGCGTATTTTCAAGGACGAACCCGCACAAGGTTAAGCTAGCTGGACAAGAGGTAGGGTTTCCTAATTCCCGATGATTGGGTTATATCACTTTTAATCTTGGTGCTTATGTATAGTGCTATAAATATGAATATTATTGTTGCTTTGCTCGGTGAATATTATTTGATGTTTCCTCGTGGATATTATTTGACGTTGGGTGAATATTATTATTTATGTGATTAACTTTGAAATATTATTATTATTATATGTATTATTATTCAGCATAGATAAATGATGTTTGCGTTGCATTACATATACATAATAAATATAGTGGTGTTAAGGGTGTGTGTGTCGTTTGACATATATCTGAGTAAAAAAATGTGGAATATATTTAGGTGATGGGAGCAGGGCTTGAATATATTGAGGTGATGGGAGCAGTGCCTCTAATGAAAAGTGAAAGTTGATAAATTCGTAAACCAAAGAAAACTGGGTTAAGGGACGGATGTGCGCTAGTTCATATTTTAGGGTATTAAGAGCCGCAATGGTAAAACGCATGGTATGAGACATGCAGGCTTGTTGCCCTAAGGTATGAATTAGTGGGATTAGAAGGGAGTGAGTTTATGGCATCACCGCATATGTAAATTTATTTATCTGGTATGGTTGCATAATTTATGTATCTTGTGTTGTTTGATGCATGACACTTTGATTAACTATGATAGTTGACCTTGAGGGGTTTGACGGTACTCTACTGGGCATTAGAATGCTCATACCCTAATAGATTGTGCAAGATTAAAGAAGAAGTTTGACGAAGCGGGTCAACTAAGTTGCTGGGCTTTTGTTGTTGATTTGTGTAATTAATAATTGTAAGTAGTCAACCGTTTGATAAAAATCTTAGTGTGTATTTAACTATGAGCTACTGCGACTCTGATTTTGTGTTGTTAATTAAATTTTGTGGCTCTATTTCTCATCATATCATGGTTGTAAGATTTTATTCTTATGACTATGGTATGACTCACACCATGATTCGGGAATATTCCTTATTTTCGAATTGGGTAATGACACAGACATAGCTGCAAAAAAGAATAGCAATAACAGAAGCACCTCCTGGATATATTCAGTCACCTAATCATGGATCAAAAGATCATACATCAAAACACATAGACAATACAACTATTCCTAGCCTAGCAACAAACCAATTCTCCCAAAGGATAAGAAAATATACCCAATCCAAAGCCTCTCGATTCCAAGTAAACTCAACATGTGCCAATCTTTGTCCAATCCAAACCAAACAAAATCAATTTCAATTTCTAAAAACCCTTAATTTTACAGAAACCCTAATTTAGATTTGAAAATTGAAATCACAAACTAACCTAGAATGTGACATTGATTTGAGGAAGAGGTGGAGGAGTTTGTGACAGAGACGATGATAGAGAGAGAGGCAACGAACACAAATGAGAAGGGTCTGAGTAGGTGGAGTGGAGGAGACTCTATTACAAAAGGAGGCGACGATGACAAATGAGAAGAGACAGGCAATGACGAGATGTGGAGTTGGTGGACAAGGAGGCAACGACGAGATATGAGGTGAAGAAGATAGGCGAGGTGGAGGAGGAGGAGGAGGACGACAAGAGAGGAGAATAGAAGAGATAGGTATTTTTTTTTGGTTTGGGAGAAATGAGAGAAGAGAGCTATCGAGAGGTGAAGGAAAGGAACTTGGTGGATTGAGTGTGACCGGTTCTAAATAGGTCCTAAAATAAGGCCCAATGAAACAACTACACATGTAATTTAATTAAAATAAATAAATAACATCGGTCGGTTTGGTAGAATCGTCGGTATAAATAAATAATTAAATAATATTGATCAATCTTAGTCTCGGTTTGTTTGGTTCTAGTCAATGTCAGTTTGACCACGATTCAGGACAGTCGGTTTCTCAATTCGAGCAGTATTTTGGTAATAAAACCCAACAGTAATTTCATGGTTAAAAAATAGGGTAATTTGAAGGTGGAGTTGCAAAGTAACCATTTTACTCTTAAAAAATGGTTCGAGGCAATTTTCACAATTTCTAAAAAAATTTAGAAACTAAAAAATGTAGGGGATCAAAGTGTAGTTTTAAAAAATTAATTTTATCAGCCATCACCTCCTCCTCATTGTTCGATGAGTTTTTATAAAAAAATAACCAAAATTTACCCTAAATTTTCATAAATGTCAGTTTTTATAAAAACTTTCAAACATACATAGCCAAAAACTCAGTTAAATATACTCAAATGCCCTCAAAACAAAAATACACGTAAACCTAAAAACTAAAAAAAAAAAAAAAAACAATACACCACCATCCCTGCCTATCCCAGTTGCCACCACTCTTGTATCTTCTTTTTCTTTCTTTCAACAACTCACCACCTTGTCAACCTCCACACCCAAGCCAGTTTCCCCACCTCAAGGCCCGCTTCCCTAAGTCACACTCACCACCCCACCCCAAAACTATCTCTCTCTCTCTCTCTCTCTCTCTCTCTCTCTCCATACCCACAACCAACTCCTAGCAACATCTTCCCCAACCCAATAATTCCCAGACCATTTGCCCCATCCCAAGCCTCTCCCCCAAGATCTTCCACTCGACTACCCTACCCCATGCCCTTTTTGTTTTAATCAACAAAGGTACTCCATTTGTTATCAATGTTGTAAATCAAGAACCGCTCCAAAAAATCTAAACTTGTTCGAATAAAAATAAAGGGATTGCAATCTAGAGTATAGTTTTGAAAATAATCCATAGCAAAATTGAAAATATCCAATATAGCATAAGATGAGGTCTCCTTTCCCAATTACTTTCTAGTTTTTTCTTGATGCTGACTTCTTCAGCTTCATAGAGAACCAAATTCATGTACACATCAAAACCAATGATTCGGCCTTCAATCAAGAGCCAAATCAAAATGTGAGCTTTACTTTGAAGGAACCAGAAAATCAAATTAATGATTTGGGTCATAATCCTCTGAACTTTGGTGCTCGCCATGGTTGTGAAATTCAATGGATTTCGCATCATAGATAGAGGTTCTAGCCGATGAGACTTTGAAATCAAATGAGCTTAGTTTTTTTCTTTTCTTGTTAGGTGTAGCTTTGCCCTTTTTTTATCTAATAGGGTTTTCCTTCTTAGGTTCATGTGGGTTTTAGTTTTGAGGGTAGTTGAGTCTATTTAACTGAGTTTTTGGCTATTTTTGAAAGTTTTTATAAAAACTGATATTTATGAAAGTATGGGGTAAATTTTGAGAATTTATAATTTATCAAAAATAGCCAAAACTTGATCCTTAATTTCAAAAATGTCAGTTTTTGTAAAATATTTCAAATATAGCAAAAAACTCATTTAAATAGACACAAATGCCCTCAAATTTAAAACCCGCACAAACCTTAAAAATAAACCTTATTAAATAAAACTTTGGAATATTTTTAACCCACATTTGTACAGAAGAACAAAAGTTGAAATATATCATCCTATTTATTGATATTTTAATCAATTTAAATTTAGTCCCAATCTAAGCATCACCAAACATCGGTTAAGTGTTATTCAACTTAAGCCAATTCAAGCCAAGATAATTTATGAGAATAGTTCATGTCAAGACAATCTTCTGTAACAAATGAGGTTGATGGGACCAACTTGGCAAATGACTGAAAGACTTGTTGCCGAATCAATTGCCCAAGTCTGTTCGAATGACACCATTATTTTGTCTTCTCCGACGGATCAATCCGCCCAGTGTTCCCCGCACGCATAAATGCTGCACCAGCTTCTCAAAGAAGCTAATAAGTTTCAAAATTGGCAGCCCATCCCACACGTCACGTTGCCTTTTAAAAGCCACACAACCATATTTGTACGATTTGAGTGACAAAGTCAAAAGAATTTTCCACAGAAAAGAATTGATCTGTAGGCCAAAGAAAAATCAAATCATGATATAAGTCAGTGTTCCCAACATTTTCCACTTAAATTATATTCTTGTTGCTGAGCTTGGTTGGATTTTACTTTTTGTTGTATTGTTGTGCCTTTTTGTGGTTTCTTAATAAAATTTAGGATTTGTCCAATATAGGTAAATATAGGGTTTGTCCAATATAGGTCCCAACAATTTTTATTTCCTAGACATATATTGGCTTTTAAAAGGCAACGTGACGTGTGGGATGGGCTGCCAATTGTGAAACTTATTAACTTCTTTGAGAAGCCGGTGTAGTATTTATGCGTGCGGGGAACACTTGGCGGATTGATCCGTCAGGGAAGACAAAATAATGGTGTCATTCGGACAAACTTGAGCAATTGATCCGGCAACAAGTCTTTCAGTCATTTGCCAAGTTGGTCCCTTCAGCCTCATTTGTTATGAAAAATTGTCTTGGCATGAACTATTCTTAGAAATTGTCTTGGCTTGAATTGGCTTAGGTTGAATAACACTTAACCGATGTTTGGTGATGCTTGAATTGGGACTAAATTTAAATTGATTAAAATATCAATAAATAGGATGATACATATCAACTTCTGTTTTTTTGTATAAACGTGGGTTAAAAATATTCCAAAGTTTTATTTAATAAGGTTTATTTTTTAGGTTTATATGGGTTTTAAATTTGAGGGTATTTATATTTATTTAAGTGTGTTTTTTGCTATATTTGAAATATTTTACAAAAACTGACAATTTTGAAATTAAGGATCAAGTTTGGGCTATTTTTGATAAATTCTCGTGCCTATTTTTTATAAAAACTCTTGTTCGACAAAGAGAAGAGGGGGCCAACAACGTTTTGAATCAGAGAAGAAACGGCCACCAAGAAGAAGAGAGAAGAGAAGTCGAACTGACCCGCTGTCGCCTCCGCCTCGCTCCTCTCAGGTCAGCTTCTCTTCTCTCTCTGTCTTTCATCTCGTCACTCAATCTCTGGCTTTCATCTCATCTGCTAACTCTCTCTCTTTCTCTTCGCCGCCACAACAGAGCAAGTAAGAGATGAAGAAGACGGGAAAAAGGTTAGACGGAGGAGGGAGGTCGCTCTCTGAACAAAAGCAGAGGGTTCTTCGTTGTCGTTTGGAGACCTTCAAGCACCTGCGCTCCTCCTCTCTGGACGAAATCGTCCACCAACTTCGCAATAATTACCGAGACTACCACCGCATCAAGCTCCAGTCTTTCACTAAGTTCGTCCAGCAAACCCTAGACTCACCTTCCTTTAAGCAATCCAAAACCCTAATCCATGTCAGTGACTTAGAAGAAGATGAAGATGAAGAAGAAGAAGAAGAAAACGGCCAAAGCAATTCCCAGAGAAGGCGGAAGCGTGCTACCAGTAAGGGCGAGGATAAATTGCAGCGAATGGAGTCTGCTCACCTCAGAAGGTTTCGTCAAAGGAATGGTGACCGTCCATCTACATCTTCTTCTTCTGATGATGCTGATGAAGATGGGTCTGTGTCGACGTCGGAGGACGCGATATACAGCGAGAAAGTGGACCCGGAGTTTGATGTGATGAAATCGAGTCTCCGAGCGTCGTATATGGAATCGAACAGCGCCTTGAAGCCCAAGGCAGCCGAGGAGCAGAAGGAGAAGAATGTAGAAATGGAGCTTCCTGCTCGCGAGCAAGTTGAGTTAATGGGTGGAAATGGAGGGCCAAGGCGGCCAAAGACATTGCTAACACCTGAAGCCAAGGGCTCGGTTTCTACAGGGGTTGAGGTGAAGGGAAGCGAGGGTCCGAGGTTTAGTGACTTAGGTGGGATGGAGAAGGTGATAGAGGAGCTGAAGATGGAGGTGATTGTGCCGCTGCACCATCCCGAGCTGCCTCGGTGGCTCGGAGTCAGGCCAATGTCTGGGATTCTGTTGTACGGCCCACCCGGGTGTGGCAAGACCAAATTGGCTCATGCCATTGCCAATGAAACCGGCATTCCGTTTTATAAAATTTCTGCTACAGAAGTCGTCTCTGGTGTCTCAGGTATTAACATTACTCACTACAAAAGTTTGAATGAGTTGAATTAAAAAGCTGCAAAACCCTGTTATTGTTAAGGTTTTTATCTTCCTTTAATTTATGTTGTTGTGAATTGTAATCTGTTGTCACATCATAAATTTTAGGTGCATCTGAAGAAAATATAAGAGAGCTTTTTTCTAAAGCTTATAGAACTGCCCCTTCAATTGTATTTATTGATGAAATTGATGCAATTGCTTCGAAAAGAGAAAGTTTGCAACGAGAAATGGAGAGGCGAATCGTGACACAACTAATCACTTGCATGGATGAATCTCATAGGCTTGTACAACGGGCTGATGCAAATTCCAACTCCGAGAGTTTTGATAACAAGTCTGGCTATGTTCTTGTTATTGGAGCTACCAATAGGCCTGATGCTGTTGACCATGCTCTGAGGAGGCCTGGGAGATTTGACCGTGAGATTGTTTTAGGTGTTCCAGATGAAAATGCCAGGGTTCAGATTCTTTCTGTGCTTACACGCAATCTAAGACTTGAAGGTTCTTTTGATCTTCTTAAAATAGCCAGGTCTACACCAGGGTTTGTTGGGGCTGATTTGGCAGCCCTGGCCGACAGGGCTGGTAACATTGCCATGAAAAGGATTATACACAAGAGAAAGACTGATATGTCTATAGATTCTATGCATGAGGAGTGCAATGAAGAGTGGTGGAGGCAACCATGGTCGCCTGAAGAAATGGGAAGGCTTACTATCACTATGGCTGATTTTGAGGTGTTTTGCTACATATTCTCTTCTACATATTATTGCAATAAAAATAAAAAACACATTTAGTATGCTTTCTTCATGAAATTTCTCGACTTGACAGCGTTATCATGTGAGTTCCTGCAGGAAGCAGTTCAAGTGGTTCAGCCTTCATCAAAAAGAGAAGGATTCTCTGCAATTCCTAATGTAAAATGGGAAGATGTTGGTGGGTTAGATCTTTTAAGGCAGGAATTTGATCGTTATATAGTTAGGCGTGTTAAATATCCTGAGAACTATGAGGTATCTTGTTGTTCTTTACTGCTTCATACTTTCTGCTGCCTGTACCTTATTCTATATATTTGTTTTATTTAAGTCTGCAATCAAGTGGCTAATTATGATTTTGAAATGGTTTGTGGTTTCAGGAATTTGGAGTAGATTTAGAGACAGGATTTTTGCTCTATGGGCCTCCAGGATGTGGTAAAACACTGATAGCGAAGGCTGTCGCTAATGAAGCAGGAGCCAATTTCATTCACATTAAGGCCAGTCATTGACTTTTCCTATAGGACACTTTTGATTTGTTAGGTTAATTTATTTTGGTCACTGTAACAATAGATATTACAGTGCATGTTTTTGGATAAGTTGAGAGGATCCATTTGATTGACATGGCTTTTCTTAACTTGTTAGGGCCCTGAACTTCTGAACAAATATGTTGGAGAAAGTGAGTTGGCAGTTAGGACATTGTTTAGTCGTGCAAGGACATGCTCACCATGCATACTTTTCTTTGATGAGGTTTGTGGTTCTCTCTTCCTGCCAATTGTTGTTGCTACCATCAGCTTCTTTAGAATTTTATCATTTGATTTGAACATTCAATGATATGAAGTAGCATAGATTACTGGCTTGTCGTGATCAAGTTTTTCCCCTCACTGATAGGTGGATGCCTTAACAACAAAGCGGGGGAAAGAAGGAGGATGGGTTGTTGAACGGCTATTGAACCAGGTAAAATAATTTGTGAAGGCAATCTTTAACCCACTGCTTACAAACTCACATGTTTTCATTCCTTTATGGATACAAAGAACTGACTTCTTACAACTGCAGTTGCTTATAGAGTTAGATGGTGCAGAGCAGCGGCGGGGTGTGTTTGTTATTGGTGCCACTAATAGGTAAGACTCATTGTTCATTCTTCAGTTTTGGTGGTGATGATTATCATTATGCATTTCTTACGTGCGGTTATACCTTTTGTCAGACCCGATGTCATGGACCGTGCTGTATTGCGGCCCGGTAGGTTTGGTAAACTTATTTATGTCTCCCCGCCCACAAAAGACGAGCGTGGTTTGATTTTAAAAGCTCTTGCGAGGAAGAAGCCTATAGATGCCAGCGTAGATCTCAGTGAGATTGGACAAAGGGAAACTTGTGAAAATTTTAGTGGAGCTGATCTTGCTGCACTGGTTTGTCTATATTCTTAATTATATAAGCTTTCTTTTGCTTTGTAATATTTAGTTTATTATTTGATTTTAGAGCTGATTTTTCCTTTGTCTCATTTGCCCTTACCTCTGTTTGAGTGTTGGGGAAGAAGAAAGGTGATTGGGATTCTCTCTAACGTATTGATCCATGCAGATGAATGAAGCGGCTATGGCCGCTCTTGAAGAAAAACTGACATCCACACCTGAGAGGAATTCAGATGCATCTCCATGGACTATCAAAGACACTCACTTTGAGCAAGCACTGGCTAAAATTGCACCATCTGTAACAGACAAGGTATGGATTTGATTTTCAGATGCCTGATACTTTCAACGAACAATTCCTTCGCTTCTTTTTGTTTTTCGTAACACTAAATTTAAAATTCCATTTCCCATTGCTTTGTCCATATGGTGGACCAGCAAATGCAATACTACCAGAAATTTGGAGAGAGCCTCAAAGCACCAAGAAACAAAGCCTAAGCCAGAAATGTCCCATTGAAGAGTACGTTGTAAATGTCCCTAATACTTTCTATTCATGTTTGTTCTCCTTACTTCCTTCGTTGCTGACAGTGTTGTTGGGCCCAAGGTTCGCATAATAAACTTAACCGATTTTGGTTTTCTGCTTTTGTTATAATGTTTAAAGAACTTTGTCATCCAAGAAAAACTGTGGATTATATGATTTCTTTTGCCTAGAACGTTTTCTATAATGTCATACAAATGAAAGAAAGTACAATGCTTTAGGCATTAGAACACACACTTCTATAATGTGTCATACAAATGATAGAAGGTACAATGATTTAGGTATCCGAATATGTTAAATTAAATGGTTTTTGAGAGTAATACAACCAATCTGATGATGGATGAGTTATGCAAGGACCTCATGATGATGAGTTGTAGGAAGGAGGTTGTATCCTTCATTTGTCATGATTCATAGTGCATAGAGAATTTGAGAGATGAAATTGTATAGGCGACTGATTCTCATTGACATTAACCATTACACACTACAAATCTTAAAGAGCCTTGGCTAAACTAAATCTAGGCTGTTGTAACAGCTCACAATGGTTCTGCTAACCAAAACTGAACAAACTGACAATGACTTGGTTTGCTGAGATGATTCTGCAGCTAATACTCTTAACATTATTCAGTGCTTGATAAAAAATTTCAGATAATGTAATGTTATGTTTTCAATAATTTTTTGTTTTTTTGTTTTCTGATATTATTTTCATTTGATTTCACTATTTATGAGTAAGTCGATGCAGTTTGATTTTAACTAGTTTAGAATCATATAGGGCTTGGTAGAAGAGGCTTTTACAATTGGAATTAAGAATTTTGCATCTAAGATAAAATGACAACTGCATCAGACAATAAGTAAAATATTTTGAAAGGGCCCAAGACGAAATGAATAAGGGGATAAAAGCCTAATCTAAGTCACCGGAAATTTCCCAAATCAATCTTGATATACTATATCTCTAATTTTATGTTTCTTGACCTCTTCAATAGATATGTTTTCCAATGCAATTTAACCCATAACTCTAAGCAGTTGCTTCAACAATGTGTATCATCTGACCCCTTAATGCAAGTAGAAGAAACTTCCAAAGAAGTTGGCTTATTTTCTAGCTGTTCTAGGTTTTCCTATAAATGGTTTTTGCCTTTTCAAATTCTTCTCAAATATTACAGCTTATATATATTTCTCTAAATACATAGATCAGTGGTTCAGTTTTATGGAAACTCCGTTCCTCCTTCAAGTAATTTATTTTACATGATATCATTGCAGGCTATAAACAACCCTGTACTCAAAGAAATCCTGGTAAGCAGCAACATCTCCAAAAGCTGCTTCTGTCTTTGTATATTGCATTGTCACTCCCGTGCTAGAAGAAACTGTTTACAGGTGATTTTTACTATGGTCAATTTCGTCCACTATGAAATGGAAGTCAGCAGTTTTGATAAGCTCAGCTATTTTCAGTGCAGCTCACCTGTCTGGTGAGAATTCTTTACAGTTGTTCATCATTGGATGTGTGCTTGGATGCTCTAATTGTTGGACTGGAAACTTGAGATCTCCCATTTTAATACATTCCCTGTACAATGCCATGACTCTAATGATAACATTCTTATCTTGAATTTCACATTTATGCCTCCTCACAGTTCTATCCTGTTTCTCGACAGTGGATCTTTTGTTTCTTAGGAGTCAGGTAATTTTGTTTCTTAGGAGTCAGGTAATTGATACTATGGCTTTGAATTGACAGTGCTCACTTGATTTTCAGATCAATGTTATTAACTCAGACGATGGCTTTGAGTCTCACAATATGCAATCACATAGTTGAACCTGTCAGTTTCAACACCAGAAACAGACAAAGACTCTTCTCCACAAGTGCATTTTCTGATAAATGAAAGAGTAGGGCTTACATAAAAAATTACTGAATAAACGTGATTTGCATATTTTCCTTCTTTTTGATTCCTTCTTTGGTTATCCTTGAAAGCCAAGTCTTGAAGTTGGTTTTGCCATCCAATTAGAGATTGAGGCCATAACATAGGATTGCCATGATTCTTCAGATCAACTGAAGATCATCTCGAGTGATTTCGTAGCATCTAGGATTCAATTTGCCCAAGATTTTAGCTTCCCTTCTCTTTTTATTGTTATCTTCAAAATTTCTATGGAATTTAGTATTCACCTCTCCAAATCTACTTTCACAGTTTTGTTCACCATAGAATGTCATATATGTTAAAATTTCTAGCAGAGTGAAAATACTGTGTTTTTCCCGTAGCCGTGCACTTGCAGGCCAGCTAAACTTGAATGTTAATAGATGACTAGACCGCTGGTAACAGTGCATAGTCATATATGCTCGGCCCACCTTCATTCCTTATCCTATCCAATAAAACTTCCACAATTTGGACATGCCCTGTTCATTCTAGAATTATGCATGAAAATAGGAGTACCCATAATGTAGAACAGGCAGACGTTTAGCTGAGAATGTATTTTTTGTGGTCGAAAGCCGAGAAAGTTAGGAGAGAATGGATAGAAAGAAGAAGATTTGGGTGAGGTGATTAAGGAAGCTTAAGTTTTATTCATCGGTCATCAAGTGTGAAGATATTTTCAAATGCCTCGCGTGATCGAGGCACCAATATTTTCGAGCAGGAATTTTTTGTGTGATAATAAATGGCAAAATGTAACAGATTGTTGATTGATTTTTTTCAATGGCGGCTCAAGCACATGGTTCCCATCGTTCAAGCGATACTTTGAATGAACCCAACACAAGTCCAACACTTGGGAATCCACTTATGGATATATCTTTGATTGTATCTATTTGCTCATATACTGCTAATGGAGCAGTGAGACATTCTTTATCTTGGTTTGAGGAGCGTCATGATATTATTTGTGATATTCTTTTTGAAGATTGTGATTTGTAGTGGCTTATGAGACTTTGGCATGTAGAGGAGGGGTTGATCTATTAGGGGTTTTGGTTCCTTCTAACCGCTTTTAGCTTAGAGCATTGGCAGCAAAGGGCTCAAGGGGAGGGTTGGGGGGGACCCAAAAACAGGTTTCCAGCAACAACAAGCTGCCAGGGCAAACAGTGGGGCCCACAAACCTGGGCAAGCCCGAGGGGGAGGTTGGCCCGAGCTCCAGCCCGTGGGCTGGGATGACGTCAGCGCTGCTGTTTAATTTTTTTAAAAGCTGGTGCGTGCAATACACGCGCCCGGTTTAAAAAAAATTTGACGCACGCTACAGTACCCCTCCCAACGGCAATATTACACGTGTCGCATGCTGGGCCATCCGATCTGCATTTTAAACTTATCCAACTACAGCCATTTTTTCGCGAATAAAAAAATCGAAAAAGTAACCTCCAACGGCTCTATGCCACGTGGAAGCTCCTGGGCTCTTCGATTGGTTTTTTCCAGCAATCCAACGGTAGGCAAATTTTTCCCCAAAAAAAAATAAAAAAAAATCGAAATTTTTTTAAAAAAATACTGAATTTTTTTTCTATAAATACCAACCAATACTCTTCACTTTTAACACCAACTCTTCATACATTTTCTTCTCATTCTACTATTTTTCACTTTCTAGTCAAATTTTTTTCACTTTCAAGTTGTTTTTCTCTCTTTTAAGTTGTTTTTTTCTCTATCATATTATGGGTTCATCTAGTGAAACCGGTGGAGGAGCATGGAGCATGACGGAAGATATTAGCTTGTGTGAGGCTTGGCTCCAAGTTAGTCATTGTCCCGTAACGGGTAATGAGATCAAATTCTGTCATATGTGGAAAAAAATTTATCAGGAATTTTGTGAAAGGGTAATTGGTTCGACCCGTACGGATCAAGCATTATCTAGTAGGTGGAAAATTCTTAATAAAGAGTTGGGAAAGTGGAGAGATGCCTTGACAAAAGCGATGAACAACCATAGAAGCGGGCAAAACCTTAGCAGTGAGGTAAATTATTTGTAATTTTTTT